GTGGGTATCGGGCCCCTTGGCCTGAGTTTTCCAGCTTGGTTTTTCCATGTGGGGCTTTCTTATTAGGGCCTAGGACGTGGGTGAGGCCCTAGCGAGGAGAGGAGGGGCAGAGCGGCCATCGGTGGCTGGAGGTCCGGCCTTACGGGTGCTGGGGCGAGGGCCCTTGCTCTGCCCAGGCTCAGAGCCCACCCTGGCCCCAGGAGACAAGGCCCGGCGGGCGTCTGTGGGTGAGGACCAGCCGGCTGGTGGGCTGGGTGACTGCAGGGAGGGCAGCGCCCCCACAGTCTCTGGTCCTCCTCCTGGAAGTGACTGTGCTGTCACGATGAGGTTGCAGATGAGTTTTTTGGAAACGGCACTGGGACAGATGCCATGGCACACAGCTAGAGGGACTGGGTGCAGACAGATTCTCCCGACTCAGAGCAATCTGAGGACAGGCGTGTCCTTGACCGCTGCGGCAGCAGGCCCCCCTTGAACCCAAAGGCTCTTTGTCAAATGAACGAGTGAACGAATGAGCAGTTGGCTGAACTGGGCTCCATGCGGCTCAGACCTGGGAAAATGTAACCCGCCTGGACCCGTCAGTCAGGGAAGAAAGCGGGAGCCGGTGCTGCCTTGAAGGGGGTCTGGAAGGCTGGCGAGTGGCCTTGGGGCGGGGGCAGGGGCAGGAAGCAGTGTGAGCGAAGGCGGGAAGGGGAGTGTGTGTGTGTGTGGCCTACTGGGACTGGTCATCGAGTATTTGTCGAGCACCTACCGTGGGCCAGGACCTGTGCTAAGGACGGGGACACCGCAGGAACCTGGGCATACCTGGCCTCTCCTGTCACGGAGCCATCTGACAGCAGCAAGTGATCACAGGTGTGATAAATGCCCTGATGGCTCCAGGGGTGTTTAACCGGGAGCAGGGCATCGCCTGGGACGGCAGGGGTGGCTTCCCTGAGCCACCGAGGACGAGGGGGATCGGGAAGGGTGACACTGAGAGGGACCGCAGCGAAGGTGTGTGCTGGGAACGAGGTGGATGCCGTGGCCCGGGGAGGGGCACAGCGCCCTGTACTTTCTCGCAGGAGCCCTTCGGTCTCTGGGCAGCCGGGTCCTCTTGGAGCTCACAGGACCGGAGGGGCCCGGTGGGGCAGGTGGGTCCCTCTCGGATCCACATCCCAGCCATCTGTGTGGCCGTGTAAACCTTGCCGCTGACCGTGAGGGCTCCAGCCTAATGGGTGTCATAAACGGGAAATTCCCTGCGCACCTCCCCCTGGTTCTCATCTGGGTGCCGCAGGGAGCCATCTGGCCCTCATGCCACGATGGAGCGGCTGCCGCTCATTACGCCACACGCACAGCAGCGGTGTGCTCCCCCTTCCTCCCACCTCTCCCCTGAGCCTGGCCCCACCCCTGGGCTGCAGCCTTCAAACCCGCTGGAGCCTCTGGGAAAGTGGACGGAGAGCCGGGTCACAAGCCAAGTGGGGTGAGGGCTGCGATGGGGGAAGCGAAGCACAGGCAGCTGTGGGAGTCCACAGGAAGTACTTACCAGCCTTGGGGCATCAAGGCAGCCTTCCTGGAAGAGGTGATGCCTAAGTATTGTGGTTTGAGCAGGTGTCATCCAGGTGAACAGGAGGCGAAGGGGTGTCCCAGGTAGGAAAGACGCCATGTGCAAAGGAGCGGAGGTGAGGTGGACCCGGCCCCTCTGAGGAAGAGCAGTGGTCCAGCGCCACACACGGGGAGGTGGGGTGGGACTGGGGGCTGGTCTGTGTAGGTCCCTACGGGTCATGATCCCGTACTTGGGTTTTGTCCAGCAAGCAGTGGGCAGCCACGGGCTGGGGGTGGCGGTTTAAAGCAGAGCAGCGATCTGGCCAGGTGGGCGCTGAGAGCAGGCACGGGCTCTGCGGGGCCGGCCTCAGCTTGTCCATCTGTACGATGGATTCTCTCTCCTCCCATCTCTGCCTTTGTGACGCAGTGAGCACCATTCCCGTTCTCAGAAGTGGCCTGGGGCTGGTCAAGAGAAAGGCAAGACGCTTATTTTATTATTGAAAATTGTTTCCATTTGGGGGAGTTTCTTTTATTATTATTTTTTCCAGAAGCTCCTACTTCCTGTTCTGTTAAGGGCATGGGGAGGGAGGGAGCGAGCAAGGGCTGTGTGGTTGTTAAAGTTCTCAGGAGGTGACCTCTGAGATGGAGTCCGGCGCTCCCTTTTTGAATATGAGGAAATTGGGGTTCAGAGAGGTCGACTGTCCTGCCTGAGGTCGCACAGCATGTCTATAGCAGACATCGGTCCTCAAACCGGAACTCTGGTTCCCAGCCCACACTCCTCTCCACTGGGCTCTGCTGTCCCTGCTTTGCCAGGCAGGGTTTGCCGTGAAGTCCTGGAGGGTCCCGTGTCCCTGCCTCAGGTGTGACGGAGTGCGTGTGCCAGTCTTCAGCTGGTTTGGCCCTTGTTTGATGGATGTCAACATTATGTAACTTAAAAAAAAAATAAATGTAAAACCGTGGATGAGAAAAGCCGAGCTGGGGGAGTGGAGCCATGTGGGGCAGATGGTTACCTGTCACTGAGCAAATATGGAAGTGAATGGCGTTTTTCCTCCACTTTGAGCCTGCTTAGGGCTGCCCGGCCATTTGGAGATGGGGCGGGGAGGGAGGGGAAGGGCCCGGAGGGAGGTTCTTACGAGCAGCAAGGCCATTTGTTGAGCACTTATTATGTTCCAGCCTCTGTACATCATGTCACTTGGTACTCAGCGTCTCCTGTGACTGCCGACGAGGACATTGAGGCTCAGGGACATGGAGTCCTTGGCCCAAGGTCAGCCCGTGAGAGGCAGAACGGTGGTTCCTGTGCGGGCCACGTGCTCTCACAGTCTCGCTCCTGTCTGCTCCGCCATGCTGCTTCTCGGGACGGGGGCACTTCCTTATGTCCCTGGGTGGCATCCCAAGGGGTGGTCCCCTGACTGCCTGTCTCAGAGCCACCTAGTGCCTCGGTAAAACCCTAACTTCTGCTCTCTCATCGTAGTCTCTGGGTGGGGCCTGGGGTTCTGCTTGTTTCGCATTAAGCCAGGAGATGCTGACGAGAAGCCTTGTCCCGCAAGGTGTGAGTGATGCAGGCTCTGCCTGTGAGCGCTGATGATGTGTGAGGCTGTGGTCCAGGTCCCTGCTTCTGTGCGTGAGGATGCGCACGGCCCTGTGCAGAGAGCTCTGGGGTGAAAGAAAGAACAAAGAACGAAAGAAGGGAGGGAGGGAAGGGAGGGAGGGAGGGAGGGAGGAAGGAAGGAAAAGGAAGGAAGGAAGGAAGGAAGGAAGGAAGGAAGGAAGGAAGGAAGGAAAGAAGGAAGAAAATATAAATGTTTAAATGTCCACTGAAAGGGAAACAAATTAATCAACTGGGTGTGATCATACAAGGAAATACTATGCAACAGTGAAAAAAATGAATAAATTAGACCCACTCACATGCTGCCATTTATATGTGTTTTAAACAATGCAAAACTGCATTGTGTATTGTTTATGGATGCGCGGTCGTCACCATGGTAACAGTTGACCTTTGCTGAGTACGTCTCTGTTCCAGGCACTGGGCTGTAAATTAGGTCATTTGGGTCTCTGGACAACCCTATGAGAGATATAAGCGTTGCTGTGGTCTCTGTTTTCCCAGATGAGACAGCGGAGGCACAGAAAGGTTACGTGACTTGTCCGACCCCACACAGCAAGCACATGGCAGAACAGGGTCAGACCCAGGTGGTTTGGGTCAGTGCCTGGGCTCTAGGGACCTCCACCCAGTGCATCATCCACAACTGTCCTCAGATAACTGGCCCCGAGTGCCTGCTGGATGCTCAAGACAAACCGAAGGAGGGGGTGGCTGGGCGGGAGGGAGGTTACTACCCCGCTTTACAGATGGGAAGACAAGGGCCCAGCAGGGCAAAGCTAAGAGCCCAAGGTCGCACAGGGAGTGAACTGCCAGCAGTAGTGACCTGTTTGACAAGCACACGCCCTGCCCAGCACTTGGCTTGCAGCTGCCTGGGACGTGGGGGCCACTGTCACCCGCATTTCATGGAGGAAGAAACGGATGCTCAGCAGAAAGGGGAGTGGGGACCAGGAGTGGAACCCAGGCCTGTTGGGTGTTAGTGTCCAGCTGTGACCTAGTGTGCACAGGCTAGGGGGTTGGCCCTGGGGTCCCCGCCCCCTTGCCGGCCACTTGGACTTGGGGCCAGCCAGGGCCAGCGGCTACAGCTGCCCTCTCTGTTTTATGGGGGCAGGACTGTGAGGAGCCAGCACATATGGGCAGTGACATCATGTCTGCTGGGGTCTCCCGGGGTCAGCCCAGCTGCAGGAGCCTGGCTGTGGGTCCTGGATCCTTGTAGGATGGGGCCAGGTGACTTCAGCAAGGTGGGCCGGATTGGGGAGGACAGCGATGGGGGCCTCCACAGCCTCCTCCTAGGGGCTGAACAAAGTGCTGGGTGACAGGTCGCTGCAAGGCACTGTGTGGCCGGCCCTGCTGCTTAGATGCACAGGGCCTCTGGGCTGGCAGCTTCTCCCCCGAAACTGTGGGAGGGGCCTCCAGATAGACCCTCACCCCACCCCCCAACTCATGGCAGGGTGGGGAACGGCAAGCCAGTGCATGAGAGGAGGGGGAGTCCGCGGGTATTCAGCGGCGACCAGGCCCTGGGCTGAGCCCACAGTCTGTCCACCAGCCCCAGACACGGGCCCTCTTAGGATGCTCATTCCACAGATGGGGAAGTGGAGGTCCCAGGAGGTGAAGTGACTTGCTGCACCCAGCCAGGGAGAGTTCAGGGTTTGGAATTGAACCCAGGCTGGCTGACTCCCAATCCAGTGCTCTCTCTGTTTCACCAGCTGGGTGGGAGCTGGCCTTGGCCTGGAGGTTCCGGGAAGCGGGGAGGGGTGAAGGGTGGGTGGTGAGCACTGCTTCAGTCCTGGCAGGCTTCCTGGGGGAGGTGGCTGGTTTGAGTTGGGTCTTGAGGTCTTTCCAGTGGGGTGGGGATACATGGGGGTCTCACCAGTGCCCCTCACACCTACAGGCATCGCCTGCTCCCGTCAGGCTCCCTGCATCTGACACAGGCCCAGGTCGGTGACAGGGGTCTCTACGAATGCACGGCCAGTAACCCCGCAGGGTCCGCCTCTCAGCGCTACATCCTCGGGGTGCAAGGTAGGGCCCGGGGTGGCGGCTCAGGTCACACCCGTCGTCCTGCCCTTCCTTCCGTCTGTCTCAGGCCTTCTCAGCGCCCCCTCCCCAGTCCCCGCATGCCAGCCCTGTCACCACTCCATCATTCCTGTCTTTCTCAAGCTGTGTCTCCTCCTCCTCCCCCCTTTCTCTCCCTCTCCTGTACCCCTCAGAGAACCCCCTGAGCACAGGGCCCAGCGGGGGCCTAGGACAGTGAAGACTTGGGGGTCAGGAGAGGGACCCATGAAAGGGGCTCTGGTTCCTGGCCCATCCGGGGGCCTAGGTCCCATTCACAGAAGCCAGCGAGTGGAGTCACTCCACCAAGGAGGCAGGAAACTTGTCATCACCAAGAGCCCTGAGGAGTCATGTCACGGTCAGCCAACGAGGGCCCTCGGGCCACATCTGGCCCCCATCCGGTGTTCATGTGGCCCACAAGTAAAGAATAGTGTCTACATTTTTAAGTGATTTGGGGGAAAAAGACAAACAATATTTTGTGACAAGCGAACATTATATGAAATTCAAGATTCAATGTCCGTAAATATAAGGTTTATTATGTTACGTAAACATTTGTTTACATTTCGTCTGTGGCAGAGGTGAGCGGAGACAGAGACCGCCTGGTCTGCAAAGCCTAAAATATTTACTACCTGGCCCTTTATGGAAAAATCCAACCGACCCCTGATCTCAGCGAACTCCCCATTTCGCAGAGGGCAGGCGGAGGCTCAGAGGTTTGCTGTTTGCCTGAGCACAGGAGAGACACAGCAGCAGAGGGCCGGGTGATGAGCAGGGCCGGGTTGAATCCTGATTCTGCCACCCATTGGCCGTGTGACCTTAGGCCAGCTACTTGACCTCTCTAAGTCTTTGTTTCCTCCTCTGTAAAGTGGGAGCCACAAAGACACCTGCCCCATAGCTGTCTGAAGGGGTACTGATGGACCAGGCGCTCAGCACAGTGGAAGCTGTTTTGTTTTCAGCTGGGGGGAGGGGCACGTATACCCCCACACCCTGGGCCAAGGGGCCGTCTCTGCCCAGGCGCCAAGTTCCCACGGTGGTCTTTTCTTGGGTGCTTTCTGCGAAGCTGGGAAGGGAGCGGGTGTCTTCAGCTTCCCCCGAGGGCCCAGAACACCTGTCCCAATCTCCCGTGCAGCGCCCAGAGCAGGAAGGCCCATGGGGCCCAAGAATTTTTCTGGGCCCGCCGGGTCCAAACCCCCAGGAGGCCACCTGGACTCCGGGCCACATAGACCTGGTGTTGGGGACAGCTCCAGCACCAATCAGCTGCGGGAGCGGGTGACTGGCCAAGTCACATGACCTTTCAGAGCCTCGATTTCTCCATCTGCAAAATGGGCATGGCATCACCCGCCCCAGAGGAAGGACCCAGTGACATGGAGGGTGGGAAAGGGACTTCAAAACACTCCTGAGGAAAAAGTGAACAGCCCCATCGCCCCAGAGCCCAGGGCAGGGAGAGATGAGATGGCCTGGGGAGAGTCATTCCAGCCACAACACGCCAGGCAGCGCCGTGGGCCGGGCCCCACGCACCTGCTTTCATCGTGGGTGGCTTTGCGATGAGGGGAAACTGAGGGTCCAGCTTGTGCAGGGTCCTGCGGCCATGCGGGGCAGAGCTGGGATTCAAACCTCCTCCCCTGTGTATGTGTCCGCCCAGCCTTGCTGTTCCCTCCGAATCAGTCCCTTTGCCCCCCGAGCCTCAGTTTCCCTGCCCAGCACCGAGCTGGTGTTTCCTGGCTTGGGGTTCTTGACTGGTGTAGGGTGCACTCAGCCCTGAGGTAGGGGCTGGGGAGATGGGAAGGGCAGGAGGGGTCTGGGCTCTGTGCCCACCCCCCTGCCCAGGGCCCCTGCCTTGACACCAAGCCTTGTGGCCCTCAGTTCCTCCACAGGTGCAGCCGGGCCCACGGGTCCTGAAGGTCCTGGCGGGTGAAGCTCTGGACCTGAACTGTGTGGCCGAGGGCACCCCAGAGCCCAGGCTGACCTGGGCCAAGGACGGGGTGGTCCTACAGGGCGAGCAGCCCGAGGGCTCCATCCACTTTGCAGCCATCCGAACCTCCGATGCTGGCACGTACCGCTGTGAGGCCTCCAACAGCGCTGGGGTGGACGCCTGGGAGCTGGAGCTTCGGGTGCTGGGTGAGTCTTTGAACCTCAAAGCTTGCCTCTCTCCACCTCCCAGCAGCAGCCTGGGCTTCCGAGATGCTTGTCTGCCCTCTGGGCTCAGGGCCTGCCGGACACCCCTGCCCGCCCCCAGACCCCCAGGCCCCAAGGTTCCAAGGGCCTTCGTCACCCCCCGGGGACTCTGTCCTCTGCGGGTCGTGATTGAAGAGCAGGGTGTGGGCCCCAGCCCAACGTCCTCCACTTACCAGCTGGACAGCCGTAGGTCAGTCGTGGACACTCTCTGACCCTCCGTTTTCTCACCTGTGAAATGGGTCCAATAATGTGTAAAGGGTCCATGAGAGAATGTCTGCAAAGTGCCTGGTGGATGGAAAGTTCTGGACCAATGGCATTAGCATCTTCACTACTATGAATTTATAACAAACTTGGAAAGCCTCAGCGGGAGAGCAGGCGATGCTCGGCCCCAGGTAGCTGAGAGCTCAAGGCCAGCCAGCCTCCTGAGCCCATGGGGTCCTGCGTGGCCCTGGTGGCTGTTCCATGGGCCCCTGTGCAGGGGACGAGCCAGCACCTCCGGCCCTGACTCACTCGCCCTGATGCAGAGGGCCAGAGCATGGGCTTGCACCCCCTTATGCCTGGCTGGGGCTCAAGGGGGCACCGTGTCTGCTGGCCCTGGGTCTCTGGTGGTGGTGGGGGGCGCGGTATCAGCATTCAGGCTTAGGGTTGTGAGTGTGGTCATGTCACCTCCCAACAGAGCCGCCGTACTGGGGTGCCGATGAGACCAGCGGCCTACTGGAGCGGGTGGCGGGCCAGAACGCCAGCCTGCCGTGCCCTGCCAGAGGTGAGGCTGGGTGGGCCCTGCTGAGGAGGAGCCCCACCCATGCGCCAGCGCCCCCGGGGCTCACTCCATGGGCAGGGCCGTCGGTTACCTGGGGTTACGGGTCTTTCTAGCCAGGGCTGTGCTGGGGGTTTCACCTGTGGACACCCTAAGGGCGAGTCCGAGCTTAGCTCTTTTTATCAGGGGCATTTCAGACCCAGAGGGCTTGACAGCTTGCCCAAGGTCACAGGCAGAAAGAAGGTGGCTCAGAAAGCTGCTGTGGTTTGACCCCAGCCCCTGGTGCCCCCTCTGTGCCTGGAGATTGTAGCAGCTGGGGCAGAGGAAGGCCCAAGGGTCCTTGTGGCTTGGGGCCCGGTGTCCCCCGCCTCTCCCCGCACCCCAGACTTTCTCACGGAAGATGGATTCGGATGCCCCTGGGCAAGCCAGCCCTTCCCAGGCCCCTTTGGGGCGACAGCGCGGTGAGGGGCTGTGGTCGGCTGCCTAGCGTTGAATCCTGCTTTGGCCCCCCAGGCTGTGTAACCCGGGGCGGTCGACACCTCCTTCCGGAGCCTGTTTTCTCGGCGGTTCGGGGTGCTCCCGCCACACCCTCGGTTCAGGGCTGCCGTGAGGGCTCAGTGGGACAGCCTGGGTTTCTGTCCCGGCACCGTGCCTGGTGCATAGCATAGCGGGACTCGGGGAAATGCGTCAAGTGAATGAATGTCAAGTGAATGAATGATTTGCCCCGCTGCACCTGGCGGATCCGCTCCATCCGAGCTGCTGCTTTTGGCTGTGGGCTCTTCTGTGACAGCTGAGCGGAGGCGCTGTGTCCCCTGTGCGTGGACGGCGCCCTCTAGAAGGCTGGGCGTCTGGGTGACCGAGTGGCCGCTTACCAAAAGCTTGGCAGGAGCGGGGGCTCTGGTCCTCGTCTCAGCTGTGCCTCCTCGTGCTGCAGAGCCCAGGAAAGCCCCTGGGCCAGGACTGAGGAGGCAGCAGGCACCAGGTGGGAGCTGTGGGTGCTTGCGGGGTCCCCTCTGCAGAGCTTCCCGCGTGGAGGGGCCCGACATCCCCGCCCTTGACCATGGCGCCACCTTGTGTCGGCCTTTGGTAACAACAAGCAACCGTTCTGCGCTCCCCGGAGGTGGGACCCGCCCAGCCCCGCCTCCTGCCCTTGGTGCCGCCCACGTTCGGGGAGGGGTCGGTCCTGTGGGCGGGACTTCAGCCTCCTCGGCACAACCCAAGACCCTCCAGAGAACACTGCCTGATCCAGGCCGCTGCCTGGCCCCGGCCGCTACCTGCCCCGCCCCCTGCTGCCCTTGGCTTCTTCCTTTTCAAGCAGGCGGCTGCCTGGTGGGCAGTGTTGGGTGCTGGCATTTACCAGCCAGGAGCCTGACCCCTGACGTGCCCGTGATCCTGACATGGCATTGCTCCTCTCTTGGCCCCTGTAAAGTGGGAGCGGGGAGGTGAGGTGAGGGACTTTCAGGGACAACTCTGAGTCCCCTGGAATCTTCCCCTCTACAGAGCCTCAGAGCGGGTCTGTGGTCAGAGCTCTTACAGATTAGATTTTCTTTCTTTTGCATTAAAAAAGGAAGCTCCCGTCTGGGCACTTCTGCCCTCCATCCTCTAACCTCCCAGACCTCCAGTCTCCAAAGACTGCCCTCTGAAGCTCCCAGTGGGTCCTCTAGCTTCTGTAAGACCGGATCGAAAAACCAAAAATAAATTAATTAATACGGGGAAAAGTTCCAGGATTCAAAACCCAATGCCCCTCCAGGCCAGTGGTTTTATGGGGTGTGGGAGTAGGTGGGGCTCTCCAAGAAGCTGAAGGAGCTGGGAGGGGCAGCGTGCAGTGAGTATGTGGTGTGTGTGTGTGTGTGTGCGTGTGTGTGGTGTGTGCTGTGTATTCTTTGTGTGTGTGTGTGTGTGTTTTTTTTAATCTTTCCCCACAGTAGGGGAGCAGGCCCTGAGCGTTGGGACACTCCAGCAGGAAACCGCAGAGGATTCGGTGAGGAAACAGACCCTGAGGGCGGGACTAAGCAGCTGGCCAAAGCCCCGCCCAGGGCACTCCCTTTCCCTCATGGCCAGCAAGCAGGGTCCCCAGCACGTTAAGGAGAAGCAGTCAGTGCCTGGTGGACTGGGGCCGGGGACAGTCCTGAAAGAGAAGACACCTCCGGTGCCTTGAGTGTGCCACATCTTGATCCCGCCCCCCAAACCCACCCAAATGTGGCGGCCGCTCCTCCCTCCAAGGGCCCGTCCTCTAAGAGAGAGATGCGGACAGTGTGTTTAGAAGGTGGTGGCGGTGCCGGGAAGTGGCCGATAGCGCACGGGTGTCCTCGATGATGGTTAGTGTTAGCTGAGGTGGCGAGGCTCCATGACTAGTGGTGGCAGGGACGATGGGGGCTGACGGCGGTGCCCAGGGTGCTGACCTACGGGTTTGTGGGAGAGGGGAGGACTGGGCTTGCAGTTGGGGGTACAGCAGGGATCAAAGCAAACACCCTGGCCCTTGTGGGGGAGACAGATAGGAGACAAATCTGAACACGTGTGTTTATGTCTGAGAAGGAACCAGAAAGGGGCTCTCAGCCCCTGCGCCCGTGGCCCCCAGGGCACTGAGAGACTGGACAGGCAGCATTGTGTGGGAGGGTCAGCGACGTGCCCACGGGGTGCCGTGTGGGTGTGCGGAGGCGGAGGGGGAAGGGCGCTCATGCTGAGCTCACGCTGATCACTCTGTGTGCCTGGCCAGGGACGCCCGAGCCGCAGGTCACGTGGCGGAAGGGTGCTTCCTCGGAGCCCCTGCGTGGCCGGCCGGGGCTGGCAGTGCTGGACGAAGGCTCTCTGTTCCTGGCCTCGGTCTCTCCCAGCGATGGCGGAGACTATGAGTGCCAGGCCACCAACGAGGCGGGCTCCGCGTCCAGGAGGGCCAAGCTGGTGGTCTATGGTGAGCAGGGGCCCCAGAGCTGGGGCAGCTGGCACACCCCTGACCGTACCCCAGGGGTGTACCGTCAGGGCCCAGGCCCCGAGAGCTCCACAGGGGAGGCTGCAGGCTGCACAATGCCTGCGTGGGGAAGGCTTAAGTGTGTCGTTGGGAGGATGGCAGGATGTATGGGCACCCCTTCCCCGGAGAGACCGTGCAAAGGGAACAACCTGTAATGGTCAAGTAGGTGACATCATTTTTAAATGATGGCCCGCCTCCAATGAGAGCAGCTAAAAGTGACCCAAGGCTTATTTATCTCCTCCCTGTCAACTTCCTTGAGCTCCCCACAGCACGCCACCACCCCGCCGCCACCGTGCTGTGTGCAGAGTGGGGGGAGCCCTTCACCTCCACTCAGACATGCCGAAGGTGGGTGGGGAAGGAGTTTCCCACCTCCCCGTGACCAGCCGCCCTGGCTTGCCTGGGAAGTGGGTTACAAAGACATACCCAGGCCTCGCCTTCAGAGATTCCGACTCGGGGGACCCTCGCGAGGCACCGGGATGACACGTCGCGTGTAGAACTGGTGGGGTCTGGAGCTCTGGCCCCTTGCGGAGCTGGTTGTCACAGAGCAGCCCCAGGGCCCGGGCACCACCTGCATGTGTGGCTCCTGGGCGGGGCCCAGGCCCGGATCTGGGGCTGCCTGTCCAGGCCGGGAAGGGCAGCCGAGCTTTCCGGGGGTGGGGGGGAAGCTCCTCTGCCTCTCCTTGCTCCCAGTGCCCCCCAGCATCCGGGAGGACGGACGCAGGGCCAACGTGTCGGGCCTGGCCGGGCAGTCCCTGACGCTGGAGTGTGATGCGAACGGCTTTCCGGCCCCTGAGATCGTGTGGCTCAAGGATGGGCAGCCGGTAGGTATCCCCTGGGGCAGCCCAATTACCAGTAGGGTTTGGACAGGTTGCCGCGTGTGCCAGGCTGTGGCGGGAGATGTGACGGGTGTCCATAGCCGTGCAGTAGTGGTCAGGGCAGGGGGAGACCGAGGTCCCACCGCGAAAGCCTTGGGGGGCTGCATGGTGGAGAGGGCATGGCACTGATCTGGGAGTCAGAAGCCCCCGTTCTTGTCACCAACCAGCTCCCTCTGGCCTCTTCCGCCCAGATCCGCGAGGTGGGCAGCCACCGCCTCCAGAACGGGGCCCGGGCCCTCCACTTCCCTGGGATCCAGGAGAGCGATTCTGGCCTCTACTCCTGCCGAGCGGAGAACCAGGCCGGGGCCGCCCAGCGGGACTTCGAGCTCCTCGTGCTCAGTGAGTGAGGCCCCCACACTCCTGAATTCCAGCCCTGCGGCCCCCAGCCTTTGAGGTGGGTGGGGGAAAGGCACAGCGCAGAGGGGCACGCCCCAGAGCCGGAGCTGTTCTCACATGGCCGTCCAGGCACACACTAGACACTCACAATCCTAGCCCGGCCACGACTGCTGTGTACGTGCCCCAGGACAGCACTGCAGGCTGCTGAGGAGGCCCTGGGCGGGGCCCGATCCAGCCGGGGCGTGGGGGAGCTCCCCAGGCAGGACGGGTGGGCGAAGGGAGGGGTGCTCCAGGCGGGACACGCAGGGTTGGGGCCAGTTCATTCTCTACGGCTTCTCGTCCTCAGTCCCGCCTTCCCTGCTGGGAGCCGGGGCCGCTCAGGAGGTGCTGGGCCTGGCTGGTGCCGAGGTGAAGCTGGAGTGCCGGACCTCAGGGGTCCCCACACCCCAGGTGGAGTGGACCAAGGACAGGCAGTGAGTAGCCCCTGGAGAGTGGCGTGGGGGTGGTGCCCACACCTGGGCTGGGTGTGGGGGATGCTCTGGGGAGGTTGAGCTCTGTGGCAGCTTGGCAGGCACTACACACGCCACCAGGGCCCAGGCAGAGGGCAGCGTGGGCACCGCGCCCCCAGCCTACGGTCACCCGGGTGAGACCTGCTCTCACCCAGCAGGGTTTTCTTATTTCTTGGCCTTTCTTTTCTTTTTTTTTTTTAATCTTTTTTTTTTTTTTTGAGGTAAAATCCACACAACCTAAAATGAACCATTCTAAATTCACAACTTAGTGGCATTTAGCGCGTCCAGTATCACGCAAACATCACCTCTGTCTAGTGCCAGAAAGTTTCAGCACCCCAAACGGAGACCCCACACCCGCGAGCTCTCTCTGCTCCCCTCCCCCAGCCCCTGGCAACCCGCCCGTCTGTTGTCTGTCTCTAGAATTCCTTACATTTCATACGAACGTCATGGAGTTCGTGCAACACGTGGCCTCCGTGTCTGGCGTCTTTCACTTCGTACAGTTTTCAGGGTTCACCCGTGTCATAGCAGGAGTCAGCACTCCATCCCCCCACATGGCTGATTGATATCCCCCTAGGGATCATCACACTTTGTGTACCCATTCGCCCGTTGATGGGCGCTTGGGCTGATGGCACCTCTCGGTGACTGTGCACCTCTCTGCCTTCCTTGTCCCCAGGGGCGGGCTCTCCCCCTTGCCGCCGGCCCCCGCCTGACCCTTGGCCTGACCAGCACTGTTCTCCTGACCATCCTTGCAGGCCTGTCCTTCCGGGGGACCCTCACATCCAGCTCCAGGAGGACAGCCAGGTTCTCAGAATCACCAGCAGTCACCTGGGGGACCAGGGGCGGTACCAGTGTGTGGCCTTCAGCCCAGCGGGCCAGCAGGCAAAGGACTTTCAGCTCAGAATCCACTGTGAGCCCAGCCCCTGCCCGGCCCCCACCCCGGCTGCTCGCCAGGCTTCCCTCAGCTGCCCAGTGCGTGCAGGGAGGACAAGGGCAGAAACGGGGGCCTCGAGGAGTCCAGCAAAGCTGAGCGGGAGGGACATCTCCTGTTCCCATGGTCCCTATCCCAGCTTTGCAAGCTTGACTCTTCCCGATACCACTCAGGGTGATTGTTTCTTGAACTTTTCCTTTAAATCAAGTCACTTTCTGCTGAAGCATATTTGTTTAAAAGGATATTGAGTATCTCAACTGTAAGTGGGAGCCCAGGGCCACTTGGCCTTCGTCAGAGGAAGCTGTAAAGTCAAATGCATTGGAAAGTGCCCAGGTGGAGCTACCTGCTGAGGGTCCTGCGCTGTGTCTGCTCCGTGGGGTACAGGGCTGAGTAGAAAGTGCTGGAAAGGTTGGGAACATAGTCATACGAAGCAGAGCCTTTTCCTTGGATGTAATCAGGAGGGAAGGACCTTGGGAAGGGCGTAGCTGTTCTGCTATGAGACACAGTGTTATTTCATGCTGTATGCCCATGCACCCCGAGGATCACCTTGGTGCCGCTGGTGGTGTGTGACCTGCCCCGTGGCAACCCCCAATGTGGTTCAGCCCTACATTTTACCGATGAGGAAACTGAGGCCCAGAGAGGGGAGGTGACCTACCCAGATCATAATAGCCTGTTAAAGGCAGAAGGGGGTCCAGAACCCCCACCGTGACCACCCCCACCTTCTGCACCTCTCGTGATGACCCGGCTTGCTTCCCATGTCAGCATGCCCCGAACTGGCCTCTCCTGTCTGTCCCCAGACTCCACTTCTGCCCTGCAGCAGAAGCCTGTGACGTGCAATGCTCATGGCCCACAGGCATGTGCGTGCCACTCTGGCGGGTGGGACACCAGCCGCCTCAGGGGGCTCCCTGTGACCATTCCCTTCTTGTCCTCAGCACCTCCCACCATCTGGGGCTCCAACGAGACAAGCGAGGTGGCTGTCATGGGGGGCCACCCGGTGCAGTTCCTGTGTGAGGCCCGAGGAGTACCGGCTCCTGACATAGCCTGGTTCAAGGATGGGGCCCCGCTGCCCCCCAGCTCTGAGGCTGTCTACACCAGGGGCGGCCGGCAGCTGCAGCTGGGGAGGGCCCAGGTCTCGGACGCTGGCGTCTATACCTGCAAGGCCAGCAATGCTGTGGGGGTCACGGAGAAAACCACCAGACTGGAAGTTTACAGTGAGTGGCCGGGGATTATGGCAGTGAGCAGTGGCCAGCTGGGGTGGGCAGAGGAAGGGACTCTGGGCCACGCTGGCCTCTGCCTGACTCCATAGGTCAGTGAAGGGAGTGGCCAGAGGCCCAGGATGGTGGGACTACGGAGTTAGCCAGGGAGAAGGGTCATCTCAGCTCGTCTCACCCCCTACAGGCGAGGAAACCGAGGCCAGGCTCGGAAGTGCTTGTCCAGGGGCCCAGGCAGAGCCAAGTGGGGAATCCGGGTTTCCTCTCGTGATTTAGGGCTTTTCACAAAGCCACAGCCAGACACCCATGTGG